TAATCTATTTCTGCATACCAAATGATTCCAAATCTAGCGGATGTCCTCTCCCATTTATTTGCTCATGATTCTATGGGTTAGAAATTCAGTCAGGGTACAGCAGTGGTATCTGCAGGGCTAAAACCTCCAAGATGGTTTCTTCACTCACACACCTTGGGCCTCAGTGAAGGTGGTTCAAATGGCCCAGGGCTGCTGCAACGGCTGACCTGGGGCCTTGCTTCTTGCCATGGGCTGGGATTCTCAACTCTCCCTTGTGATATGGCCTCTCCATGTGGTTTCTCCACATGGCCTCTCCAACAGAGTAGCCAGACTTTCTACCTGGTGGTGCAAGGCTCCCAAGAGCATAAAACCAAATGCTGCCGGGCCAGGCTGGGACTAGGGCGAGGTAGGAGAAGTGCCCAGCATTCAAAATTGGAAGAGGTGCTTGCTCTCAGGCTGCTGAAGGATCAGCACGTGGGAATGAGTACCCTGGAGGCCTCTCGTGCCAACCCTGCTGCCAGGCCATCTTAAGACTTGGGCCTGGGACCGGCACAGCACCACTTCCAACACATTCTATTGGGTAAGTCACAGGCCCAGCCCAGATTTAAAAGCTAGGGACTAGAACCGGGGGAAGAACACAGAGGTGTGGAGAATATGAGAAGGCCTCCAACATAAATACCCACACCTGCTGTAGTTGCATTAGACAAAGTTAATTTTATTTTATATATAGTATGTACCCCGATTTACAAACATATATATCTATTGTATAAATATATTTTTATTTTCATTTAACTCAATATATTCCAATTTTTATTGACCCACAATTATTTATAGTTGTATTTCAAATTTTTAAAATATATGGCTGTTTCTTAATTACCTTTTTATTATTGATTTCTAACTCCATTGCACTGTGCTCAAAGAATGTGTTATGTATGATACCAACCACTGAAATTTGTTGAGCGTGCTTTATGGCTTAAGGGGAAGTCAATTTTTATACATGTTTGCATGTATATTTGACAAGAATATGTATTCCTTAATATTGGGTACAATATTCTACATACGTCCATTAGATCAAGTTCTTTGTGTTCTTGTTGAAATCTTTCATATCTTAACTGATTTTTAGTTTGCTTGATCTTCCATTTAGTAAGAGAGATATATTAAAATCTCCCATCATGATGGTGGTATATCTGTTTCATCTTTTGATTCTATTTACTTTTGCTTTATATATTTTATGACTGTGTCCTTAGGAGCAAACAAGTTTAAAGCTGTCATACTTCCCTCAAGCACTAAACCTTTTGTCATTATATAATGACCCTCTTTATCTGCAGTGATGTTCTTCACCCTAAAGTATATTTTGCCTGCCATTTACATAGCAATACCAGCCTTTTTTTTTTTTGGATGAGATTTTGGCTAGCATCTTTTTCCCCCCAATACTTTGACTTTAAATCTTTCTGTGACTTTATATCTTAGGTGTATCCCTTATATACAAAATATGACTGCTTTTTGTTTTGTTGTTTTCAGCCAATCTGCCCATCTTTATCTTTTAACCAGACAATTTTGTCCAAATACATTTATTGTTATTACTGATCTAATCAAATTTTTTTTCCATCTTCCTATTATGTGACTTTAATATGTCCTACGTTTTCTGTTTCTTTCTTCCTCCTCCTTTCTTGCCTTCTTTTAGGGTTAGTTTCAAATTTCTTGTTCCATTTTCCCCTGCATAGAAGTTATAATCTCTATACCTATCCCCTTTTTTTTTATTGAGTTAATGATAGGTTACAATCTTGTGAAATTTCAGTAGTACATTATTGTTTGTCATCTATACCTATCCTTTTAACGTTTATTGTAGCCATGTTGACGTATCTTTCTAGCAAAGTCTTTATCCTCTGTTCCAGTTATCAATTGATGTGTAGCAAACCACCCCAAAGCTTAGTGGTTTAAAACAACAGCTTACTATTGTTGCTTATGGTTCTGTCAGTTGACTAGTTTGACCGAGCAGTTTTGCTTGGGTTCTCTCTTGTGATGGTAGTCAAATGCTGGCTGTGGCTGGAGTAATTTGAATATTCAATGGCTAAAATGGGTCTACTTACACAGCTACCAGTTGGTGCTGGTTGGTTGCTGGGAGCTCAGCCAAGGCTGTCAAATGAAGCACCCACATGTGGCATTTGACTTGAGAGATTAACAGTATGGCATCCGGATTCCGAGAGGAGGCATTCCAAGAGACCCAGCGGAAGTGCAAGACTTTTTATGATCTAGACATGAAGTCATAGAGTATCACTTCTGCTGGTTTCTACACAGGGCCAGCCCTGATTCAGTGTGAGAAGGGAATATACAAGGACATAAATGCAGGATGTATGGTTCATGGGAGGAAGGAGGAGATCTTTGAATACTAGCTACCACACCCCCCTCCTGAATAATATCTTAAGAGAACTTTCATTCTAATCGTGCACCTCCTAATTTCCCTGTTATTTCTGTCATGTTTTTTATCTAACTTACTATTTATATCTTATAACTTACTATTTATATTAGATTAGTCATTATTAATATTATTGTTTTATACAAGTTACATTTTTTCCTAGATTTACCCACATATTTGTGCATATTCTTGTTTACTTTCCTTCTTATACCCTGGGCTATCCAGCTGAGATAGTCTTCCTTCTTGCCTAGAGTATATTCTGAGGAATTTCCTTTATTCAAAGTCCATTGACAAACTCACTCAGTTTTTATTTGTCTGAAAATGCATTCATCTTCCCCTAGGTACTGAAAAATTATTTCACTGGGTATATAATTCTAGTTTGACAGTATTTTCTTTCCAATATTGAAGATATTCCACTATCTTCTGGCTAGCATCGTTGCTAGTGAGAAATCATCATTAGTCTGATCTTTAGTTGTTTGCAGGTAATTTGTCATTTCTCTCTGGTTATTTTTCAGATCTTCTCTCTAGCTTTGGTGTTTTGGTGTCTCATGATGATGTGCTTAGTTGTGTATTTCATTGTGTATTTATCCTGTTTGGGATTCACTGAGTTTTCCAGATTTAAGAATTGGTGCTTTTCAATAATTCTGGAAAGTTCTCAGCCATTATCTCTTTAAATAATCACTCTTCCACTTCCCATTATCTCCTTCTAGAATTCTGACTAGACCTAAGTGTTAAATATCCCAGTCTTATTTTTTGTTTCTGGCTCTTTGTGCTGTGCTGAATTCTGGATAATTGATTGGCATTGAGCCTCCAGTTCATTACTTCTGTCTTCAACTGTGTCTATTATGATGTTTAATTCATACACTGAGCTTTTAATTTTAACTGTATTTTCATTTCTAGATGGTCTATTTGACTTTCGAAATCTCATTATTCATTTTGATGGTCTTTTTAAATGTATCTTTTCGAGTTAGAGATAGTAAGTATAGCTATTTTATATTCTTTGACTGACGATATCTGAATTCTTTGAGAGTCTGATTCTGCTGTACATTTTTTGTGGTTGTTTCTCACTAACGGTGCATGTTTCCTTGTATATTTGTGATTTTTGATTGTGAGCTCATGTTCCTTGGAACTTTATCTGTGTGTATTATTTGAAGTCTGAATTGAAGCTCCATCCCTTCAGACACAGTTTGTATTTATTTCAGCCAGTCTCCTGGACACATTACTAACCTGCAACCACTTTTAATCAAATTATCCACTTTTTTTCCTTTATTCAGTCTATTGGTAAACTAATTCATATTTTTCTCAGTCTAAAATGCATTCATTATTTGGGAAGTTCTGAAGTTTTGGGGGACCACACAGATAATTAACATGGACCTCAAATCAACAGGTGCTTATGAGTTATTGGGGGAGGCTTTACCCCGCTTTATTCCATGCTGAGGCAGAAACAGGCTAGTTTCCTCACGGTCCACTTTTGTGCAGTGGGTTTATGTCTCGCTCATCCTTACAATGCACAACCCAGTTTGATACAAAGGCCTCTACTACTTCCCTCTCAAGGGGAAGGGAGTGTTTGTCTTCTGATCTTTGTAAAGCTGTCAAAACAGAAGCACAAGGTTTCTAGAGGATAGCAAAATTCCTCAGGGAGAAAGCAGCATTGGTTTCTGTTGTTCTGAAGTTTCTGATTGCATGTTGATAATGTTCTCTGAGCAGTCCTTGACTTTTGAGTGTGTGTGTGTGTGTGTGTGTGCATTAACATGTTTCCATCCAGAGGACATCATTAAAGTGTTCAATCCACCGTGATGGCAAAAACTGAAATCATTTAACTGATATGCATATTTTAAAGCATTTTATACATATTGCTCTACTGCTCTCCAACAAAATTGTGCCAATTTCCATTATGTTCATCTGTGTAGTGATCAGAAACTACAAATTTTAATGCCTTAGGCTGGCTTTTTAGTTTAAACATTTTAATCATATTTAATGTGAAACTTTATGAAATCCAAAATATTGAGCTATCTCTTATCTTTTTCAATCAAAATCATAAGGAACCGATTATAGGATATTTATGTCCTAGTGTCCAGAAGAAAACAGGGAGAAAAAAAGATCTTTTAAGAAAAAAATCTATGCATATTTTGAAACTTAGAAGAACATTTAAACAGCAGCGGTTAAGGACAAATCCAGGCTTTGTCACTTACTAACTGCTTGACCCTGGGCAGATCTCCATTTTCTCATCTGTAAAATGGACGCGATAGTGGCTACTTCAGAATTAAATAAGATGATGTTTGCAAAGCACAGAGCCTGACAGAAAAATTCTTAAAACTGGTAGTTAATATTATTAACTTGCCCCAAGTGACTCCACTAGTGGGTAGGGCAGTTGAGATTTGAACCAAAGTTTGCCTGAATCCAAAACCCATGAGAAATCCTTTCAATTTGCATGTTGCTAGGGGACTTAGAGATTGGTTGTTACCAGAGATCTCCTGCTCAGTAGGGCAGATTTTCTTGCTGCCCATTCCTTCGCCATAAGCCCCGTAGGACAGAGGAGTGGGGTCCCTTCCTGGTGTGTGATAAAACTGACCAACATTCTTAAGCTACTTAGCTATGTACTTACAGAAGATAGATGACATTAAGCCTCCCAAACAGCTTCTCAGTAAATTTTCTAATGAGGTTTTTGATACAATAAATATCCTGCGATTCTGTTCTTCGGCAATGCACCACTTCTACCTTTCCTCTTGGGGAAGTGAGTATGGACATTTTTCACCCTGTCCCCAAAAGAGAGAAAACAGTCCACTGTCAATCTGAGATGACAAGCCAGTCTGGTTCAGTACTTACACAATTGGGCATTAATTCAATTTTGGTAGGGTCAGAGTGAATGTGGTATTAGAGTGCTGGAGGGACACATTTTCCCCTGGGGGTAGCCTGTGACAACTGACATGTTTCTCTCCAGAAGAATAATGTTTCTGAGAATTGGCCTGTCTAGAAATTTCTGCAACTGTATTCTTTGTTTCCAATAAAGCTTCTTTGAAATATTCTAATAATAGGAATGAAAAACATTGAAAAGAATGATTTACTGATTCAGGGTTCTCTTACATTTAATCGGCCACCCTGGCACATGGTCACGAGTTACAGGGGAAAGACTAGCAGCTGCTGCCAGTGTTCTAAAATAGAGTTCCCCAAACTGGAGCCCTGAAGGGCAGCAGTCCTGAGAGACATTTTGAGACCAAAAAAACGTTCTGTGATCAAATAAGTATAGGAAATGCTGCTTGCGATGGCCCTCCTGAGGGAGCACCATATGCATTAAAACCTTTGAGAAGACTTTATATAACCCAGCCTTTCCCACACCCTTTCTGAGGAGAATCTCTAATCATGGCGACAGTGGAGAGTCTAACATTCCAGAAAGACATTTTAGGGAATGCTGCTGACAGGAATAATAGGCCACAAAATGATTTCAATCTCTCTCTCAGTGTCTCAGCATCTCACTGTATGTGTGTGTCTGTCTCTCCCTCTCTCTCTCTTTCCTTTCCTTCTTTCCTTCCTTTGTGTCTCTTTTCCTTCCTTCCTTTTTCCTCTGGAAAACATTTTATTATGTACTAGCCAGTAAAGTTGAAAACAGACAAATTAATTTTTACCATTGTATTTAGTATCATTACCATTACCACTTTACTGAGTACCATTACCATTGTACTATGCACAATACGGAACATTTCCAGCACCCCAGAAGGCTCCCTTGTAGCACCCCCCAATCACTTCACCGCTCCAAAGGTAGCCACTACTCTGACTTCCATCATATTGACCATCTTTGCCAATTTTTGAAAATGATATAAATGGAATTATACAGTGTGTACAGCTTTCTTTCAAAACACAATATATCATTTGACTTTTTGTTGTTGTTGTTTAGATATATCCTTGCATTATTTTCATTTTGCTGAAATACCAAAGAACTTGAGCACCACAGGGGCCTGACAGCACTGGACCAAGCCCCTCCTTTGTCAGATGAGGAAACTGGGGCCCATGAGGTGAAGTGACTGACCTCAAGAAACACACGTTTGGTCAGAAATAGAAGCTTGGGCATCTCTTTCCAGTCCAACCTCCTGCCACTCCCCTCTGTTTAAGTGATCTGCAAGCTGCCTCTGTGGGTAAGTGGTCCTCCTGTCCTCACCATCCACTGGTGTTCAGATTAACTGCAGTTCAACTGCTCTTAACCATAACCTTCAGATGTTAAAGGTTCGAGGAGCGAGGCAATGCAGGGGGACTTGAGAAGGCAGCAGGTAGTAGCCAAGAATCCTCATCCAGTGGGCTTTACCTTAGTCAATTCATGCCACCCTCAACTTTGTAGGCTTACAAACAGGTATCATCAGCACTCTCAAAGCAAATCCAGCTCTGAGGGATGGCCCTACTTTGCCCAAATTCACAGAAACTGAAAGGAAGAGTCCAAAATGCCAATTTATTCATGTACAAAGGGAAAGTCAACAGTGGAGCAGTCCACATGCTTCTGTAGCTCAGGGAGCTAACAAAGTCCCATGGGCTAAGTACAAGCCTGACTTCCTCACCTTTGATAGAGCTGGGTGGTGGGGAACCATTTCTCCACCTCATGTGCACTACGTGGCCACTGTCTCGCAGCCTTGGTATCAGGGTGACTAGGGAGAAATGAGGAGCTCACGCTAGTCTCACCTCTAGCCAGATGTTGTCTTGTGGAAGTGTGGGCTCAGAGTTGCAGATCTTCACATTTTGCAAAGGAAGAAAACCTTGGTATTTATACATCTCCAAAATTTGAAACATTGGCTCAAAAATTTTTTCACACTTTACAGATGTCAATAAACATGTCTTTCAGCTGGTTTAGCCTTCATCCCTGCTATGGCAGAGCCACCCATGCACTCTCTTTTTGTAGATCAACTACATGGACAGCCCAGCTATCAGAAGGTGGTCTACATGGGACCATGGTCAAGGATACAGGATATGGAATCAGAGCACTGGGGATGAGACCCAGCTTCTATCCTTTATTAGCTGTGTGACCTTTGGCAATTTAATTAAACTCTCTGTTCCTGGGTTTCCTCATCTGTATCTAGAGATAATATACATACCTCAAAGAGTTTTATAAATGACTTATTATATGCAACACACTGAAAGCAGTGTCTGACATATAGTTAAGTGCTCAGTACATGTTAGTCACAATTATTAATATTATTATTATTGAGCATGGACATTTTCAGGATTCAAAATGGTGGCCATCAAGAAGTCGCTCAGAGCTCCCAAAGCCTGAGGGACCCTCATCCACTGTAGAGATGCCAAGCCAAGAAACCCAGAGATGGGCGATGATTGGACGGTACATTCTCAGTTTGCCTGGGCATCTCTACATTGTTGATGACCACAGGGCTAATCAATCCCCTTTTCAATAGACACTTGCTTCCCTAGGTAAACAAACACACCTTTCATCAAGTTGCAGTCAAGTTCTGGTGACCTGATAGCATTTCCTTTCTAAGATGGCTTTCCACAGCCCTGCTGCAATATGAGTTGACTTCATGTTCTAATCCTAATGTCAATCTTTCTTAACATTTAATTTTTTTAATTATTTTTAATTACATAGCAATGCATTATAATGTTTTCTTCATTATACCTTCAATGCCTAATACCTTCGCTTTGTGAAAAACATAGAACTTTACATATAAGGCTGAAATCCTGCCTTTTTTATTGTGGTAAAATATGCATAAGATAAAGTTTAGCACGTTAACCATTTTTAAGAGAACAGTTCAGTTGCATTAATTACATTCACATCGTTGTGCAACCATTTACCACTATTCATCTCCAGAACTTTTTCACCCAAGGTACTGTTTTGAAACCCCTGGTCCCAATCCAAGTGCCCTCTTTTTTGGGTGTGGCATGTGTATAATCCCAGACAGTATTTTCCATTTTAGGGGACCAAACACACACCACACATGCTGGGTGGGCACAACAGCCCATAAGGGAGAGACTCACTGGAAGGGGTCTCACCTGAAGGTCCCTCTCACTCCAAATCTGGTGGAAGCATTAACAAGCAATGAAATGACAGCAGTGTTTCAAAGGAGGCAATTAGAACCTGGCTGACTACCATCCAAGCAATTAAACATTCCATGATGTCCCCCACCACCCTGGGAATGTGAAATTAGGTGCTTCCTAATAAAGACATGGCATTAGTAGAGGCAATAAATTTTCACATTTGCAAATATCCTTTACTTTCTTTGGGTAGAAATGGACTTTAATAATGTCCAGACTCCTGTCAAAACTGCCCATAAATATTGTCAGTCCTGGTTTTGGTTTTAACTTAAAAGTAAAATTGGAAAGAGACATCCTGTTTGTGAAACATGATATCATAAGCTAATGCTACAAATATGTAAAAATCCTGAAGAAAATAAAATACAAAAGTATAATTAGAGAGCTGAGTTTGGGAAAAAGGAAAGAAGAAAAGAAGGAAGAGAATGAGCAAGGGTCACCCTCCAACCAACTGGCAATGACTTTGTGTGCAGTGGCTCAGGAAGTAACTGGATCTGATATAGACCCTGAGGGCCAGAGTTTTAACACTTCATGGGGGTAGCATGCGCCTCAGCAAAACAGAGAACCAAAACATATGGCCTGGACTTTGGAGGGGTGGACCTCTCTGTGAACGAGGGGATTAGAAAACTAAACCCACTACCCGAAGGAAGTTACAAGGAAGCTTTCTCTAACCATAGCTCTAGGTAGAAAAGAAAACAAAACAAAAATACTTGTAAGGAGTCCAAATTCTAGACCAGAGTGGGTGTGGCATCCCAATCTCCACCACCTGTATACATGGAAGCTTAAACCTTCAGACAATGTCTCTGAAAGTGACTATAAAGTAAGAAGGTTTACAATTATTAGAAATATAGAAAGCGAAGTAAAAGTCACGAGAACAGGGAATTATAAAAAAACAGAAACTATAAAAATTGAAAATACGGTTATTAAAATTTAAGCTAATTGGATGGGTTAAGAACATATTAGATAAAATTAAAGAGAATTATGAACTGGAAGACAGTTATGACGAAATTATCTAGAAAGAAAAACATAGAAATAGAAAAATAGAATGCACTTAAAAGACATAATACAGAACGAAAAAAAAATCTGTCTTATAGGAATCTCAAAAAGAATAAATAAAATCCTGTTTGAAAATAATGGCTAATGAGATCTCATCAAGATGGCAGTGTAAGCAGACTCTGAACTCATCTCTTCCTACGAACACAACCAGGTTACAATTATTTTTGAAAAAATTACCCTGGATAGAAAACTGAAAACTGGATAAAAAGAATCCCCACAACAAGGGACAGTCCTAAGGCGGAAGAGGCAGAAATTACTTCTGGAGAGGAAAAAAGCCACCTTCACCAGCCATGGAGCTTCACAGCCAGCCAGGCAGGAGCCACCCTAAGGTATGCAGCCCTCCCTGGAGGGGTGAGGTCCAAAGCAGGGGCCGATACTACTATAAGCATCTCAGCACAACTGAGATGAGGGTCTTACTATCTGGCTTTGCTGGCTAATAACTGCAGTGGGGATAACCCCAGAAAAGTTGGCAGACAAAAGCCAAAAAGACATGGGTCTTAAACTCCACATCCAAACTCACCTGTCTCAGCAAGCTAAAATCACCAGAGAGAAGGCTGACAGTCCTTTGGTGAAAAGAGACTCACCTGGTGGGCTCTGGGTGCATCTCAATGAGAGGAGAGACCTCTCCAGAGACTGAGACATTGGTGGTGGCCATTGTTCGGACCTAGTCCAGGCGTGC